AGGGAGGGGGAGGGAGGGAGAGGGGGTAAGAGGTAGAGGAGACAGATGAAGACCTGTTAGTCCCACTGCCCAAACCTGAGGCTAAGTAGAGGCATGTCCACCTGTCATGTGCTGGGTACTGAGGGAGGTAGGGGAGAGGGAGGGAAAGCCTTGCATACTGGGGGTAGGTCTCTGGGGAAGTGTGGGAGATGAGGGGCTCACAGGAATGGGGGTGGGACAGATAGGAGAAAGACAGGAATGGAAGCATGAGAAAAGCAGTGGGAGTTGTCTTTTGGATCCCTTTTCATATTCTTAGAAACACTTAGGATAAAGAATGGGATTCTTTTAAAGATTTGTTTTGCTTGATTGTACTGTGCCTATTTAAATGGGATGCTCTGAACCCAAACCACACGAATTATAGTTTTATTAGGGTTACATAGCTATACTAATACATATATATTTTGTATTGCATGACCCTGGGCAGGTCACTTATCCTCTCTGTGCCTCATTTTTTTTCAGCTTATAAAAATGGGGATAACAATAGCACCCACTGCACAGGTAGTTAGGATTAAGTAATTTAAACATTAAATAATGGTTGTTAAATAATAATAATGTAAATTGTTTAAAACAGGCCTCGGAACATAAAACTTAAAAACCTCTATTAATTAGTTCCTAGAGCTTCAGTTCTCTGAATCCATCATCTACTTGCTGATCACTCCCACCTGGAAATCCCTTAGGTTTGAAATCAGACTTGGTGGTGTGTTTGGCCCAGACCAGCATCGCTTCCTGGGTTCTTCCTGCCTGATGTTTTAGCTTGTTCCCACTCATCCAGGCTGGTAACACCAGAGTCTGTTTCTGGATCCTTATCCTCCTACCCAATAGCCAGTAAACCACCAGTTCCTTTGATTCTTTTGTCACTACACCTCACTCTGACGTTTCCTTCTGACCCCTCACTTTACTCGTGGTCTGTTGCTGTAGCTTCCAAACCTGCCTCCCCACTTTCAGTCTCTGCCCCTGCTAATCCATTCTGCACATGCCATCATAATCATTTCCTAAAATATCACTTTCATCTCACCCCTCCTAAGCTCAAAATCTATCAATGGCTGCCTACTGCCAATAGGATAAAACCCAAACTCCTTGGCATACCTTCTGTACTGGATTGAATTATGTCCCCCCAAAACTCCTTGAAGCTTGAATTGTGTCCCCCAAGTTTTATGTATTAGAAACTTGGCCCCCACTCACTGTTAAGAGGGTGGGAAATCCTATTATGGTAATTGAGAGGTGGGGCCTTGAAGAGGTGATTGGACTGTAGGACCATGTAGTGAATGGATTAAAAATGGTGGTCAGGGGTGTGGTTCTGAGGGCTTTAAAAGAAGGGAAGAGTCTGTCTTTTGCTTGTTCTGCTCTCTCTGCTTCCACCATCTTGCAATGTGAGACCCCTGGGTTGCTGTCACCACCACCAGATCGACTTTGGACTTCCCAGCCCCAGAACTATAAGTAATAAATTACATTTTCTTTATAAATTACCCAGTTCTATGTAGTTTGTTATAAGCAACAAAAATGGGCTAATATTGGGGCCGGCCCGGTGGCGCACTGCTACAGTGCGCTGCTTGGGAGTGTGGTGGCGCTCCCGCCGAGGGTTCGGATCCCACATACAGACTGGTTCCCGCTCACCGACTGAGCGAGGTGCGGGCGCAGCACCGAGGGTTGCGGTCCCGTTGCCGGACACGAAAAAAAAGACAAAAAGGAAAAAAAAAAAAAAAAAGGGCTAATACACCTTCCAAGCCTCACCCAATCTGGATCTAACTGTACCTTCTGACTTTTGATTGCCTTGCTCATACTCTCACCCTCTTATCTGGCCACTGGCTTCCTCCACCCAATAAATTTCCTTTGGTTATCATCAACCACTGCCTTGACTCGCACTCTTTCCCTACTTCAAGTACCTTTCCCCACCCACACCTGCACCTGTCAAACCTGTGCAGCCTCACTTCTCTAAGAAGCTTCCCTGACCACCTCATGGAAAGGCTGTGCCCATTCAACTCCTGAGCCCTATCTTCCTGAAGAAGACCTGCTCCTTAAGGCCACAACTCACATGCCTGTGAATCTTCACTCTGGCCTGAGTCTTGGGTTCACTTTCCTGTTCCTCACAGGTGTGAGAACACAGTGGGGAGGTGCCCCAGTGCCTGGGAGACCTTGTCCAGCCAGGAAGATCATGCCTGATAAGCCCCTGCTGTACTGGAGAGGGGCCAGGCACCTGCCATGGTGACAACCTGCCCTGATAAAACTGGCCTGGGACTCTACTGTGTCCAGTGGACTCTCCAGGGAGGCCCCACTTTGATCTCAGTCTCCCCTTCCACTGCAGCCTTCCCCTTCCTCTGACTTGAAGGCCAACTAGACTGGGAAATCCCACAGAGAAGAAACAGCCAGAGAAGGGCCTCTGTTTCCTACTGACCCCACAGTATAGTCCTTAAGATCATATTCCTAACAATTCCCAAACAGTCATTTCTCTAGGCAGAATAAATAAAATGGGAAAAAAAGAAAAAAAAATCCCACAGGAACAATTAATGTTTTCCAAAACTGAAGGAAAGAAGCATTCCAAAGTCATGTGGACTTTTCTGGTTTTTGACCAGGACAGGAGATTTTGGGGAAGGAAGAGTTGGTGGGGAGGTGGGCATGGCAGTGAACACGCACACTCTTGGAAGATCTTGTGTGCCGTGTGTGTACATTTGTATGTAGGGGGTGTGCCTGTCATCTGGTTAACTGAGTTTCAGGCACCATGCTCCCTCCCTGGCCAAAGGGAGACAGACCAAAGGCCTATGTCATGTCTGAAGATCAGACCAGGCATTACCTGCCCTGGGTTAAGTAAGTTATGAGTTAATACATGTAAAGTGTGTAGCACAGTGCCTGGCAGTGAGTAGATGCTCAACAAATGACAGAATATTTCTATTCTCATGTCACAATTATTATTAAGATGAGTGAAGTGCTGTGCTCAACTGGGCTAATTCTGATGATCTGAGGAGGTATTTTCTGAGTGTCTGGCTTCTCTGGACACCATTCCCACTGTGTTCATTCCTGTACCACCAGCACCTAGCACATGACTGGCACACTGTAAGCCCACGGTGAATGCTTAATGGAAACAAGACAGGGGAACTAACGGTGCCCCTCCAATCCCCTTCCCACTTTCCACAGGCCCTAGCTCAATGACCAAAACGAAAGCTGGTCTCCCAGGGGAGAAGAGCTTCCTTGTAGAACTAGCTTCCTGACTTGGCTTCCCAGAGGAGCAACAGGACCCTCTACCAGCACCTGGCTTCCCACCACAGGCTGGCCCCAGGCACCCTCTGTCAGTCAATTCCTCAGTACTTGCAGGAGCCAATGCCTGAGCCAGGATGACCTGCCCCATGGAATTAGGATTTTGTGCATAAAATATTAAATTTAACATTTGAGGCTATCTGTCACAGCTGATTTATCAGATCCAGAGAAGGCCAGGATCGTTTTCCTCTATGAGGGAGACGATTTTTAGTAAGGACAGGATTTGTGTATAATATGCAATTGAATCACACAGTAATTAGATTAATGCTCTCCATCTGGGGGCTCCAATGCAGAGCCCAAGTGCTCAGAGGAGGCCTTTACTTACTCCCCTTCTCCACACTCCACATCACAGGGAAAGGATCTCTGGGATTCACAGTCCCAACAGAGGATAAAGAGTTCCTTCTGGATTGAATTCTCTGAGGCTGTTTTCTCCTCTCCCTCTCCCTCTCCCTCCCTTCTATTTAGTTTTGCCAGTGTAGCTGTATATAGTTTAGTCTTACAGTTAATGCAAACGTTTGCAAATAAGAGGCTTTTATTTACTTATTCCATTCACCACTTATCACATGCCTGGAAACTCAACTGAAAAACAGTCCCTGTTCTAGGACATTGACTTCTTACAGGAAGGAGAGCCCCTTAGGTCCTCAGACTTACCCAGGAGAGGTAGGAAACACATCCCCTGGTATAAAGGAGGAAAGAGAGTCAATTCAAATGGCTGCTCTTCACCCCCAACAAGGCAAGAAAAATTCTTCTAAGGAGAGGAGATGGTGGCCAGGTAAGGCTGGTTTTGTTTAATAAATATTTTTCCTGTTCGAGTTAATTGCCCAAGGACAGGTATTTATACAGTGTTGTGGCAGCCCCACTTTAGAACAGTCACCAACCCTTTCTCATCTGCAAAATAAAGCCTGGAATTCTGTGGCTGTTGCCTGTCTTGGTGACTGCTGTGGAGGTTTGACTGTCACGGGAGCCTTTGTGTTTGCCAGGTGGATTGGTACAGTGGTTTAGGTTGGTGACTATACCACCATATATCTCTTGTATACAACATAGTCTCGTCTTGCTCCTTTAAGGCAGCCTGGCATTATAAAGAGGAGGCAGTAGGGTAACAGAGACAGTCCTCTTCACTGTGCCCATGGGCTTAGGAGCCTACCTTTCTCTCCTTGTCACCATATTCGATGCCCAAAGTGTCCATGGCCCGGACGATGGCTGCCAGGGACTGGATGGTGTTGCTGTAGACGACAGGCTTGTACTGTTTCACATCTTCTCCAGAGAAGCCATCCTCATGGATGATCCTAGAGAAAACCACACACACCACACCTGATGAGTGCACTGTCCTCACTCAACACAGAGTGCAAAGGTTGTGGAGCCTCCAGGCCAACCCTCTGGTTTAGCTGGCTGAGGGCTAGGTCCAATTAGGATGCTGAATTACTGAGCTGCTGCATTAATGCTATAAATATGAAGGAAAAATCTACCAGAATTACTAAAGATAATCTGAAAAACAATATATTCGAAAAAAGAAATGTAGTCTTCACATTCCCTATATACAGTGAAAGAAATATCAGTCAAGGAGCTGTCCGTAATACCAAAAGCACTTAGAACAGGAGGGGCACACACTTAGCACTCAATAAATGTTAGTTAGCTATGAGCATTTTAAGCAAAGCTCAGGGTGTTAACTTAAGTACACACCCAGGGGCATATTATGGAAGATTCCCACAAGAAGTCTTTGCAAGAAGTCTGCAAATGAATAATGTACGTTTCTTTCACAGAAAACTCACACAGTGCTTTTAATGAAGGTAGGATGACTCACTTAAAATGAACAAATAACCATCTCTACCTTTGACAATGGAAGTCAACAGGAGTTGGCCTACTCTTCCAACCTTGGCTGGGATTTAACCACGCCACCCTTGCTCTGGTAACACAGAGGACACGAAGAGGACATCACAGTTCTCAGAGGCCATGTGACATTCCCTGGCTGCTACTCAGTACATGCTCATTGCTGACAAGGGTCCAGATAGGAGAGAAATCTAGAAAGAGGGGAATCACACCAAAACTTTGCAAGAATCCTCTTATTATTAAAGTAATCAAGAAAGAGCAAATGAATTTTAAGACTAACATCCAATATTAGTCATTCCTCAATAAATTGTGTAAACCCTTCTGTGGTCACATTTTTCAGTCCAAGATTAAATCTACCTGTAACATGTGCGTACACCAATAAAACAGTTCCCTTCCACTCACTACAGCCCTTTTCCATTCCTTCACCATAGTTGGTATATGAGAAAATTGCTAACAATTTTTCTTTTTTTAAAAAACATCTTTATTGAGATATAATTCACATACCATACAATCCACTCATTTAAAGTATACAATTTAATGTTTTTCAGTATATTCACAAAGGTGGGCAACCATCACTACAATTTAATTTTAGAACATTTTTGTCCCCCCGAAAAGGAAATCTGCACCCATTAGCAGTCACTCCCCATTCCCCACCCCAGCCCTAAGCAACCACTAATCTACATTATGTTTCTATAAATTTGTCTATTCTAGACAGTTCATATAAATGGAATATAATATATGGTCTTTTGTGACTGGTTTCTTTCACTTAGCATAATGTTTTTAAGATTCATCTATGATGTAGCATGTATCAATAGCTCATTCCTTTCTATTACTGAACAATATTCCATTGTATGGATATAACACATTTTATTTATCCAGCTGATGGATACTAATGATTCCTGTTGCAAAATTTGATTTGGTGTTGGTTATAGGTCTTCACCCTGAGTTTCTCTAAGAAGCAGATCAGTATGACCCTGTTGACTTTTCCTTGACTTTTACTAGCCCTAAGTCCATTTTGTAAAGTCCCTTGAGAGTGCATTTAACCAGTCCAAACCACTGGTGCACTACCCCAAAGAGATCTCAAAGTGAACTGCCTGCTCCTACTGTAAACGACTAGAAAACTGTACAAAATATACAAAACAAGTGTTTTCAGACACTAGTTTTCAGAATAGGCAGTGCAGGACTCTTATCCCTGCAAGAAGAGAAGCCAATGGGTGAGTCCCATGACTGCCTGGGCTTTCTGCCTGAAGGAGTTTACCAGATCACAGTGCAGAGAGGGAGAACCCAAGCAGAACACAGCCTTCTCCTGAGCAGAAGAGATGAAGATCAGAGATCAGGAAGGCTAAGGTGGATGGAATTCGAAGGGCAGAATACCAGAAAGGAGAAAACTGCAGAGAACAAGCTCTAGACATCTACATAGGGGTCTCCTTGAGTCTTTGGCTAAAGAGGATGAGACTCTGCAAGCAGGGCAAGGAAAAACTACCAGAGAAAGAACAAGTACCAGGGAGCTTACAAACTGAACATGTCCCAGAGCTCATGCAAGGCTGGAAGATGTTCAAGTTCCGACCAGCCAGAGTGCAGAGTCCTTGCTGAATGCCTGGGGGCATCCAGCAGAGACCCCAGAAGGCTCAAGCCATAGTATTAGGGCTAAACTAGCCCTGGAGTAAAGGCTACTTTAGACCTGCTCTGACAAAGCTTAAAAACAAACCTCAAAAAAAAAAAAAAAAAAAAAAAAAAAAATCAAGCTGACCTGCAGGTAACTTAACTGCCTGAGAGTGAAGTCCAACACTCTTTAAATGAGGACAACAAAATCCAGACATTCAACAATATAATATTCATACTACAGCATCCAATAAAAAACTTCCTGGATATGCAAAGAAGCTGGAAAGTGTGACCCATACTAGGAGAAAAATCAGTAAATAGAAGCAGACTCAGAAGTGACAGAGATGATGGAATTATCAAATAAGTATTTAAAAACAACTATTTTTTTTCTTTTTTAAGACTAGTTAAGTGCAGTAGTGAGAAGGGGGTAAAGAATAGAACAAGGACTTCAACCTGTAACTGACCATGATCAACTGAGAAAACTCACTGCCTTCAGACTGGCCTAAAAACATCTATTTTAAATACTTTAAAGAAATTAAAGGAAACCATGTATGTAATAAGGAGAGAAATGGAAGATCTAAAAAAGAACAAAATAGAATATCCAAAGATGAAAATACAATATCTGAAATAAAAATTTCACTGGCTGGGATTAACAGCAGATTACACACACAGAAGACTGGTGAACTTAAAGACAGCAATAGAAACTATCCAAATCAAAGTAAAGAAAGAAAAATGACTAAAAATGTATTATGATGTTTATAACATACGTAAAAGTAAAACTTATGCAACAACAGCACAAAGGATGGGAGGGGTAAATGTAAGTATATTGTAGAAAGTTTCTTACATTACATGTGAAAAGAGTGGTATAATATTACTTGAAAGTAAGGTATGCTAAGTCAAGATACACATTGTAAACTGTAGAGCAATCACTAAAAAACCATAAAAGAAAGGCAACTGTCACCCAGATTCCATGACCAGACTCCTTTAAGAGGCCAGGATCTGAAAGGTACAGGTGGGATTTGCTGGTCCCGAGGTGTTATATACCTTCCCAAAAGCCAGTGCAATGAATCTCTCCTGCTTCATTTTTCACCGGCAGGTCCTGCCACTCTCCTGGGAATGCACTCTAGACCCTTGCCTGCTGATAAATTTCCCTCCCCCTGGGGATGGGACTATCATTTTTCATACTTATTAGTATCATGAATCTTTATATCCACCTAACAAGGTAGAAAGGGTAGGTTTTTATTATACTCATTTGACAGAAGAGGAAACTGAGGCTGAGAGATGTTAAATAATTGGCCCAATGTCTCTCAGCAGGTCAGTGCCAGAGGTTGGTCTCCAAGTTCACAGTCCTTCCTATCACACCTCAGTCCATGGGATGGACTAGGCAGAATATTGACTGGCAGGTCTCAGCCTGGTGCCTGGGTGTCCCAAAATAAAGAAGCTTTATTTGAGTTTTGCAGAAATGATGCAATTTGGGGAATATTGCTCAAATCATGATTATTACTCCTATAACTTGTTCAAATCGGCTTACATTAGTTTAAAATTGGGCTTCCTGTCTCAGGGTAGAATTTTATATCCCTTCCACTACAAAGTAATAAGTAATCAATACTAGAAAACTTGGACCGTACAGAACAACAAGAAATATTATTCATAATCCTACTACTCAGAGAAAAACACTGAACTTTTTAGTATAAGTCCTTCCACAGCATTTTTTTTTCTCATGCCACATTCCTCTTCTTTTTACCCCAGACTTGATTTGAAGCAAATATCCTTGAAATTATCAAATAAGGCTCCTTTATTTTCTATCTCCCCATATCATTCCAGAGAAGCAGAGTAGAGCGGTGGTTAGAGTGTAGGCATCAGACAGGCCTGAGCCAACCCCAGCTCAATCACTGAGCCAACCTCTTGACCTAACCTCTGGGGCCTTGGTTTCCTCATCTGCTAGTTGTTATGAGGAATAGATGTGAAGTGCCTATATCATATAGTAAGTATATAATAAATGGTAGCTATTAGTAATACTATTCTCTTTCTAAAGTCGAAATGCCTCAAACATAATTTTCTTCATTTGTAGTATTAAAAAAAGCAGAATAATAATTGTAGCTAATACTTGATGAGGATTTACTCTCTGTGCTAAGTGCTTTACATGAATCGTTTCATTTAATCTTCAAAATAATCCTAGGAGATTAAAAAAAATCTCCTCTTTATAGGTGGGGAAACTGAGGTTTAGAGAGGTTAGAACATTTACCTGAGGTCACACAACTGGTAAGGGGTAGAGTGGCATTTGAGGGCCTGCTTGTGACCCCTAGGCAGATGTTGAGAGGCAGGGCTGCTTCTTCCACCCTGGGTCACTATATTCAGGTTCTCAGAGGATTCAGAGATTTCACACAAAAAGCAAACATCAGAACTACCCTGCAACATCTGCCCAATGCTCCAGAGTGTAGGGCAAGGAAAAGAGGCCTCTGGGTTGGGGTTGGAGATGAAGCCCAAGGAAGTTCAATCTTGTGTGACAGCCCAGGTCTGAGTCCCTGAGGTGACAAGGCCAGGATTTGGAAAGCAGGAGTGAGGCTCCATGAGAAACTCTAAAGCATCTTACACTGCAGCATCTCATATAAACTGTTCTTCATCTACTTAGCAGAGTGACAGAGGGCAGAATCAAGTCCCAGAGATATCACTTGAGCACCTGGATCCAACCACGCCTGAAGCCAACCCTATCCCTACACTTGTAAATGATATGAGCCTAATAATTTCCTCTTATTTCTGCATAAGCTAAGTTGACTTGGGTGTCTGTCACTTATAACCAATAGAGTCATGACTACAACATGTTATGTACTTCAGTACCAACAGTAAAGAGATCATC